ACAGCCTGCCCTCTTGGCCTGTACATATTGGGTGGGCAGGTTCCAGTTGGAGTAAATGGTCTTAATGGGAAGAACATAGATGGAGCTGAGCCGATGATTTCTCAGACACATTTTAAGCTGCTAGCATTAACTTTTTAAATCTTACCTGGGTTAGGGGCTGTCTATCTGAAAGTGCAACTCTTGTGATATTGAGACAGTTTGATGTAATGGTGAAGGTGCTGGATTAGAAAATGGGAGACCCTGAGTTCTAGTCCTCCCTTAGGTAAGAAAGCTGGCTGGGTGACTATGGGCCAATCCTTCTCTCTCTCAGCCCAACCCACCTCAGAGGATTGTTGTTGTGGGGAAAACAGGAGAAGGAAGCATTATGTACGCCACCTTGAATTGTAACAAATAAAGACGGAATATATCAAATAAATAAATATGAAAAGTTATTTGGATGTTAAGAGGACCCTTCTATCAGGGCCTGTCTATTGGGCGTATCAAAGAGGGCCTTCTTCTGCATGGCTCTCAAGCTATAACATGTGTTCTTTATAGAGTTGCATTTGATCCCAACCCACTTTTCTATTTCTTCCATTAAGGTTTTATGGTTGATTGTTACTGTTTTATCACTGCATTTAATTTTTGATTTTGCATCTATACTTTGCATGTTGTGAGCTGCTTTAAGTATTCAGTGCCAATAGAAAGGAGGACTATCAATCAGATCAGTAGTTAGAACAGGTTTGGCAACCGGACTGTGCTGTTGAGGGTGTTTAGGAATCTCTAACTGATTTTTCAAATAAATTATAGTCAGTTGTTTCTTAGAGAGGTTTACAACAGCTTACATTTAAGGTAAAGATGAAGATGCCCCTCAAATCAAATCTGACTCCTGATAACCAGACATGTCCATCTAGATTTCAAGGCCACAGTATGGAAGCAGTTTGCCACAACCTTCTCCCAGAATCTTTTCTGACTTTGCCATCAAGTCTATAGCATCCTAGACCACACTAAATCCAAAAATGCTAGGGAATTCCTGGAAGCTTGGCACTCAGACACATCAGCCAGCAATAGACATATAGAGATAAATCACATTTACACACCATTCAAAAGAGACAATAAGAAAGCCAAGAAAGAAACACAAGGACCAGAACGCATCCTCTCCAGCAGCCTAGATAAGCGGGGATGAACACCAGACAAAGGATCAAGCAGAAAACTATAATGAAAAAACCACCCAGGAGACAAACTATCAAGCAGGGGAATAATCAAGCAGAAAACAATACCCTAATCAAGGAACTACCAAGGAGAAAACCACGCCCCCACCAACACTGGCAGGGCAAGCTACTGTATATAAACAGGGAGAAAACCCCACACTCAGTAGCACTGAAGATGTTACCTAGTTGGGCGATGAAATGTCTGCAAGCAAACAACTAAGCTCAGAGAGTACCAAGGACTCCACAGTTCAACCCTGAGCTACATGTATTCTCTTCTACTGGTACAGTTAAAATATCTCACCTACAAAAAATTAGGCAGCCACTAACTTTGATGGCAGCAAAGTTTATTTTCTGTGCCTCTTGATTTAGTGGGTATCTGGATTTTG